AAACCTTTACAGACTGTGGGGAAATAAACCTTTCCTCCAGTAACTCTGGGTGCTGGGTATATCGTTTCAGCAACAAGAGAAAGTCCCTAAGGCAAAGGAGAACAGGCTTCCTTTGGCTGGCTCCCAGGCAGAACATCATGATGGAAAGGCAGGGCTGAAGAAAGCTGCTTCTCTCATGGCATCCAGGAAGCAGAGGGAGAGGTAATGAATGGGAGAAGGGACACACCCTGCAAAGGCACGTCCCTGCTGAGTACTTCCCCTGGCGGGTGCCCCCTGCCACCAGCCCTTGTGCAGCTGTGAATCCATCAGTGGGTTAACCCGTTGTGGAGGTTAGTGCTCACTTACCTCTCTAGGGCCCACCTTGAACACTCCTGTGTTGGGGATCAAGCCCTCAATACATGGATCTTTGCGGGACACTTCGTATTTAAACCTTAACATGGTGAAAACCGGGGGAAATTTTGCCTGAGACCCATAATTGAAAACTGGTCTCCATGATTTGCTTTCATTTCAAATTCACCCTGGATGTTTGAAAAACTACATGGTAGAGAGTCTAGCGGTCCTGTGCCAGTGATGCTTTCTAGTAATACCTAGAAGAAAGAACAGCAAAGCGGGCTGGGGATATAGCTCAGCGGCACAAGCGCCTGCCCGAAAAGTGCAAAGTCCCAAGTTTGATCCCCAGTCATCCCCCCGCAAAAAAACCCAAACAAGCAAACAAACAAAAACAGCAAATCATGTCTAGAAGGGCCCACATTCAACTTGGCCAACAGAAATTCTCATAGACAATATTGCAATATTGTCTCATAGACAATATTGTAAAACTAATTTACATAGTTAAAAATCCAAAATCATATTGCCAAATAGGACTGAGAGAGAAATAGCAGTCAATGTAGAATTATAAACTTATAAAATGTCTTTCAAAAACAAAGATTTGTGGGGCATAGTGGCACACACATATAATCCCAGCACTGGGTAGGCTGAGGCAGGGGGATTGCCATGAGTCTGAGGCCAGCCTGGACTACATGATGAGTTCAAAATCAGCCTGAACTACATAAATAGACCCTGTCTCAAAAAAAAAAGAATTAAATTAAATTAAAATTAAGGCTTAAATAAAAAGGCTTAGATCACTTACGAATTTATGCTATTCACTAATAGGAGAGAAAAAGTATACATTGTCCAGGGTGAGAGGATGGCTGGGTGTGGTGGCGTACACCTGTAATCCCAGCACTCAGGAAATCTGATGCAGGAGGATCACAAGTTCAAGGCCAGCTGGGTACCTTAGTGACTTAGCAAGACCCTGACTCACAGAAAAAAGAGCTGGAGGTGTCACTCAGAGAGACAGAGTGAGAAAGAGAGATGAGAATTTGTTTTGTCTTTTTTTTTTTTTTTTTGGTACCGGGAATCGAACTCAGGACATTGTGCTTGCCAGGCAGGCCCTTGTGCTGCTGAGCTATATCCCCGGCCCTAGAGATAAGAATTTGTAAGAGCCACTGTATCAGGTTTGCAGAACATAAAGTCAAGGTCACAATAAGCCGCTGTAGTGTAGTTTCCTCTGGAAATGCTCATCTCATCAGCTTGGAGTGGGAGCAGAAGTGAGGACGTGGAGGGGGCGTGGAGGGACAGATGGGCCAGGGTGATGAGGGACTCAGAGGGAGGGCAAGTGAGTTAGAACTTGAAACCAGGTGTGTGTACCTGTACCCCCAGCTAGTCAAGAGGCTGAGGCAGGATGCCTGTGGGTCTGAGGCCAGCTTGGGCAACTTAGTGAGACCCTATTTCAAAATAAAATTTAAATAAACTGCTGGGGACGTAAATTTTAAAATTTAAATAAACTACAGGACATAGTGGTAAAGCAAGGCCCTGGGTTCAATCCCTGGCCAAAAAAAGAACTTGAATGCGATGTGTCTGTTGGCTGAGGATGGGAGACTGATTAGAGTAGCTGCTACAGGCCAGAGAAGCCCAAAGTCCCCAGGCAGTGTAGAGACCTGGCGCAGTCAGCAGCCGGCAGTCCGTGTGCTGTGGTCCCCCGAGAGGGAGCCGAGCTGTGATGTTCCTGAAGAAAACCCCCAGGCTCTCCGCCCTTTCTGCTCCAGAGGCTGTTGCACAACTTTAGAGGCGAGGCTTTCTTCTAACTCTCATGCTGACCTCGTTCCACCCCAGTGCCTCCTTGGTAAATAGGCCCTCTGCCCTCAACCTTGATGATTCATGCTTCAGTTTCTATCTGGGCATGCCCAGTAGCCAAACAGTCTTGCTCTCCTGGTCATTCCCCTTCTGCTGTGGCCCTTGCAGCTTTTGCTTGTCTGGCTTGCACCCCTCTCCTCCATGCCCTGAGTGATGTCCCAGGCCAGCACCCCATAGCACATATCTCTGGCGCTGCAGTGCTGGAACCTCCCCACCTCCTGGCCACCCTCCCTCCGGTCCCCCAGGCACACCATGGCAAACCCACATTCCAAAAAAGCCCTCTGGATTTGGGTCAGCTGCCTTTACCCAGAATGTGCAGCCTCTCTGATGCTTAAAATCATGGAGTTTTAAACCTAGAGGGGAGTTTTAAAATTCTTTACTCTGACTCTGTTGTTTCACAGGTGGGGAAATTGAGGACCAAGAAAAGAAAAAAGAAAAGTGTCTGGTTCAGGACAGGGCCTAAATTGGCAGTTAAGATCTCTCTGCACAGTGAGAATTTACTACCCATTAAAAAAGCATTCAGAGATTATTGTTAATTAATTAATTCATTTTTTTGGTCTTTTTTTCAGACAGGGTCTCACTATGCAGTCCTTGAGCTCACTTTGTAGCCCAGGCAGGTTTTGAACTCGAAAAGATCCTCCTGCTTCAGCCTCCTGAGTGCTGGGATTACAGGCGTGTGCCACCACACCCGGCTCAGCATTCAGAGATTATGCACTGACTCTCCTTATAACTGTACCCAAATTAGGGGTCAGAGATATAGCTCTACAAGCACATGTGCCTGCCTGGCAAATGCAATGTCCTGAGTTCAACTTCTGTTACCCCTCCACCAAAAATATTCAGAAAAAAATTATTTCTTTAGCCGGTGTGGTGGTGCACACCTGTAATCCCAGCACTCAGGAGGCTGAGGCAGGAGGATTGTTGTGAGTTGGAGATCAGCCTGGGCTACAAAGTGAGCTCAAGGCCAGCCTGAACTGCAGAGTGAGACCCTGTCTCACTCAAAAAGACAAAAAAAAAGAACTGTACCCAAGTTATTCATTAGTGTTCACAGCAACCCTATGAGAAGGTAGTAGTATTACCCCACTGTAGAGATGAGGGGCTGAGGCACAGCATGAGGTCACTCAACAAACCCCGATCCTGACAACCCCCTAGTGTCCTAGTGTCTTACTTTCTCTCCTTGCACCTTTTAAACACACACACTTGAAGTTTTCCTCTTACCTGGATCACAAGAGTCCATTATTCCCACCTGCCACCCTTGCTTCTCCCAGGAGACAGTATGGTCTGCTTGCTGCCCACAGCTGATGGCACCAGAACTGGACATCGGAACGAAGGAAAAGCAGTCACTAGAGCTGGGTATGGCGACACACGCGCATAATCCCAGAACTCTGTGGGCCATGAGGCGAGAGGATCACAAGTTTCAGCCCAGCCCGGGCAGTTTAGTTACTTACCCAGGCCCTGTGTCAAAATTTTAAAACATTTTAAGAAGCTGGGGATGTAGCTCATTGTGAAGGTTCTAGGTTCAATTCCCAGTACTGCAAAAAAAAAAAAAAGCACTAGGTAGATTGGCTCAGCCACTGAAGTTCTTTCTTGTAAGTATTTAAATGAAAAAAGTGCAGGAACGGATATTTCGATGGCGGTAGGCACAGGATACTGATGCCTGGAAGTCACCTTGCTGGTGAGGCAAGAGAGGAGGCTGAACAGGCACAAGGGAACGAGAGGCCAGGGACCCGGAAGACACGGAGAGAGGGAGCTAGTTCACCCCAGGTGCCTGCGCATACACACCCTCCAGCCTCACCCTAACTGTCAAATCGTGCCCAACACACACCCAGCCCAGTGTTTTCTCAGAGCCCATGAAATCTGGCTGCATTTTCCACTCCTGAGTTCTCTGAGATTCCCATCTGTCTTCCCAGGAAATCCTCTTGCATTCTCACTCCTTGGCGTGTGTTTGTCCTTGCAGTCCACAAGCCTGGCTGCAGCACCAGCTCGTGTAATTCTTCCAGCTTCCCCAGGGGCCTTCGCTGTATGTTCATCTCATCTGCTCCAGACGGGGCCTGCACCCACAGGGCAGCAGCCCTTTGGTCTCCCTCTCAGCAGTCGACTCATGCTTGATTCAGCAAACCTGCTAACTTTGGGGTGTCCTTTTCTAATTTTGCCCCTTGAAACGTGACTATCCTCACTGCTGTTCTTTTACGTTGTAGGAAACCCGTGGATCGAGCCCTCGCTTACATGTATCCAGGAGCGTGTGTTAAACATCTATGTGCCAGGCGCTAGGATAGGACCTGGAAGTGAGTCCATGAAAGTTTTCAGTTCCTCCTCTCCAGGAGTTCACAGTCCAAGAGGGGAATATAGATTCAGCTCGTCAAACTGGTCACGCCAATGCAGCCTTCGGTTTCATCATCCTAGCTACACATGCGCACACACACATGTTCACTCACATACTGCAGGCCTGACAATTAGCCCTGTCACCATGTCACACACACCCAGACACAGGCTCTGTCTTGTTCCCTCTGCCCTGTCCCTCCAGCCTCTTCCTTAGTTCATCCTTGTCCCTAACTGGCCTCTGGAAGATGCCTTGGAGTCTTCTCCATGTTTTTGATCTTCATTCTGTGGTACAGAAATTTGTGTGTGTGTATGTGTGTGTGTGTGTGTGTGTGTGTGTGTGTGTGTGTGTGTTTATGCTATTTTAAGACCCCAGCACTTTGCAAAAACCGGTGGAGAATCCTGCCAAAGGCCTGGGTGGGGGAGGGGAGGCTGGGCAATCTGAGCCCCGGACAGACTGGGTGTCTGGGGAGCCGGGTTAGCAGCCGCCAGCTGCAGAGCCAGGCTCAAACCGCCGCCGCCGCCCTTGACTGCTGCTTTTCTGGCCCGTTCTGGCCCAGACCTACCCGGTTCGTCCACCTTCGTTTTTGCCATGCCCAGCCCTCATTCTTCACCGTGAGCTGCTTAGGAGTTTGCACACCAGGCATCATGTAAAATTGTTGTGTTTCTGGAAACACACGCTCGCGCCGAGAAGCCTTGAAATTCTTCTTGGAACAGGTCCAGGGGTTTATTTATGAAATTCCCAGGGGGTGGGAGAGACAGAAGTCTGGACTTTGCAGACTGAGTGCTGTGCCGTCATCTCATCAACATAACTACCACTGTAGTGCGCACTTACTACATGCCCACCGCGCGCCCATGCCAGGCAGAGGGTGGGAGCTGTGCCCAGGACCCAGGACTCGGGACAGACAGCAAGCAGCTATTCCCCCTGCCCTGCAAGAGGAAAAATAACCAGAAAGGATACTGATTTATTTGGTGCCTGGTCCCCCGCTCTCACTTTCCCACTTCATCTAGGCCAGCCCCCACCTCTTTGCTCCTTGCCCTCCTTCTCCCCAAATCTGCAGCCTCCCCCCAGGCCCCTTTCACTCTGGAGTCCATGCTGTCCTGGGGGTGGATAGGTGGGTCCCCCAAGGAAAGGCTGCAAGCCTAATTCCTACCCAGGTGAGAAACCTAGAGGTCAGGGGTGCTCCGTGCACCACTGAACCCTTGGCAGTTTGACGCAGAACAGAAATGGAGCCGATGGCTATGCATGCATGGCAGAGGCTGCCAGAGGCCAGGGGCAGCCGGGGTGTCCAAGCCTCTCAGTGCTTCCCAGCGCTCCCCAGGGACATTAGGTGGTTGATGCTCAGTCTGATAAAGCTGGGGAGAGGACACAGAGAACTCCCCTTCCAGCAGCCAAATGTGGGGAAGCTTTCTGCTGCAAGACAGATCCCAAGCCCCTGGCCTTCTCTCTGAGAGGGACGGAACTTGGTGGATGCGAGGCTTCGGTGGCCTGCCTTCACTCTGTCAAGACAGGAAAGTGTGGTTCTAAGTGTGTCTTTGGGTCCTGCCTTTGAGAATAAACCTGCATGATCAGTCCTCGCGCAATGACTGTTATGCCAACATCAAGATTTTATTCAGGACCTTAGAGGTGAGCTCCCAGTTGAGAACTTGAAATAGTCTGTCAGAGATGTGATAGAAGGACAGGTAGTTCAGGGCCGGATGTTTAGACAAAAGGACACTGTATTTGCCATAGGGAATGGGAGACTTTTAAAAACCAAAGGCCACCATCTGGAAAACAATCAAATCAGGGCACAAGTAGTAAGTAAAAAATGGCACAGGTCATATATACTAAGTGAAAAATGAATACTAGTGTGTATGTGTGTGAGGCCTTGGGTTCAATCACCATCATCATCAAAAGCAAAAAATACCTAAACCGCTGGGACAATAGAAAATGTGTCCTTTAGAGATGATAGAACCTTCTCTACCCCAAGCAGCCTAGGCTCCAGGCTATGACATTTAGAATCCCCACTTGTTTAGAAATAAAAACTTCAAAATATGAATCATCTCACAGACCTCCTGAAGATTCTTTCTCCCCTGGGAAGCCCCAGCAGTTTGCGAAGAATGAGTTGGGATGGGGAGATATGGCTTCTAGCAGCCTCTCCCAGATGAGGTGAGCAGGTGTGGGCAGGCTCACCTGCCCGAAGCCTATCATAAGTAGGTGGGCCCATTCCTGGCTGGGGGAGGCAGTGCCGGCCTGCCTGGGCCTGTTTTCATGTCTGCAGGAACATGCGTGCATGTGTGTGTGTGTGCGTGGGTGTGCGTGCTCACACATGTGTGAGTACATAACGTTGGAGGGCATTGGCATGGCACTACAGACAACAAAATGTGTCCCACTCACACCCCTGAAGCTACCCTAACCAACCATAACCCTCCTCCAAGGCCTTTTCTCTCCTTTCTTGCCTTCCTTTCTTCTTCTCTCCCTCCTACCCTCCTTCTTTCTTTCTTTTTCTTTCTTTCTTTCTTTCTTTCTTTCTTTCTTTCTTTCTTTCTTTCTTTCTTTCTTTCTTTCTTTCTTTCTTTCTTTCCTTCTGAGACAGGCTGGCCTTGAACTCAGGGCGATCCTCCTGCCTCTGTCTCCTGAGTGCTAGGCTCACAGGCATAAGCAGTGAGGTTTATGGGTGAATGGAGAAGATGCAAAGGTCCAGATTTATTCCCAGACACCTTGTTAGAGAAAAAACTTGGGCTTTGGATTTAGATAGCTCTGAGTTCAAGCCCCCAGCTCTTTTACTTGCCAGCTGTGTGATTTGGGGCCCATCATTTAACCTCTTGAACCTTTGGTTTCCTCATCTATAATATGGGGATAGTAAGTTTTCGTCCTGCAGAATCTGTGTGAAGATAGAATAAAAACTGTCCTTTATCAATTGTCAAAAGTTGAGGAGTGAGTTATGACTTCTGAGAGATCGGTAATGCTGACACTGAAGTCCGGCTGCCAGCTTTTAATGTCACCAGACCTCTGTCTCCTCACCTGACCTTCAGGGATAATGAAGACACCTACTATGGGCTTGTAGGCTTGTTGTCAATACACAGGAGCACACTTTATTGTGCTGTCATAGTACATAGCACAGAGCTGGCACTCACACCTCGGGGTCCTTCTCCGAGGACCCCGCCCCAATGCAAAGCCCCTGCCCCAGTTGCCCTGGCTGTGGCTTCCAGCTAGATTTTTCCTAACAGCAAAATCTGTTTTTTCCCTAGCTGGGCCTTTCCAGGCGTGCTGTTGTCATGGGAACCCTGCCTCAGTTTGGGGGAGAAAGGGGCTGTTGGTTAAAATCAGTGAGTCGCACCGCTGCTATATTGCAGCCATTCTGATAGGGGCTCACCGTATTCTAGCCAAAGGCCGGTGGGAGTCTGTCTATGGAGGCTCACCTGCTCCACCCCGCCTGCTGAGGCACACTCACCAGGCCCCAAAGTGAAGGGCTGAGGCTGGTTGGGCGAAATCTCCTGATCCAACACTGCCACTATGTCTCCTTCATCTTTTCAAAAACGAAGCCCAGCTGGATGTGGTGACACATGCCTGTAATCCCAGCATACTGGGAGGCTGAAGCAGGAGGATCTCAAGTTGAAGCCCAGCCTGGTAACTTAGTGACTTATTGATACCCTGTCTCAAAATGAAAAATTAAAAAAAAAAAAAATCTGGGATGTAGTTCAGTGTGAAGGTCCTGAATTCAATCCTTAGTACCAGAGAAAGAAAAACAAGCAAGCGAAACACAGGACCCATGCCAAAAACATCACTGTTTCTTTGGGGGCTAAACAAAGGCATGTCTTAGAGTTTGGTTCTATAATTGATTTGGTATTCCTCTTCACCTCCAGCATAAACAGTGAGTCTCTAGGCCAGGTACACTTAGCTGGGCAAACTGAGGACTCAGAGGACCCAAGTGACTTCCTGAATCATTTTTCAGTAAAGTGTGAAAACAGTGCTTGGAACCCAAGTCTTTTTGATCTTTGCCAGGACCCTGAAATTCCCAGGATTTCAGGGGAAACATAGGGAGGGCCCAAGAGCTGGCCCTCAAAACTTGGTACATGCCATGAGACTTTCCACAGGGGGTGGTTCTGAGTGGACAAAAACCCCAAAAAACTTCCCCCAAAAAATTCCACTTCGAAAACTCGACAGCCTTCTTCTTCTTTTTTTTTAAGACCAGAACAGCAACACAGCAAAAGCCTAAAACATTTCAAAAACTTGGACCTCATAATCCCTCTCCTAGGAATCATCCCAAGGGTCTCCACATGCTTCTCTGCTCTACAATTCCAGCTGCAGGGCCAGGGATTTAGCTCAGTGGCGTAAGTGCCTGCCTGGCAAGCTCAAGGTCCTGAGTTCAATTCCTGGTACCAAAAAAAAGAAAAGTTGACTAAACCATCATCCTAACAGGAATGCAGTAAATCTTGTAGCACTTTTGGTGTTGGGGATATAGCTCAGTGGCCCAGTGCCTGCCTAGCAAACGTGAGGTAGTGAGTTCGATTCCTGGTACCCCACCCCCCAAAAAAATACAATTGTAGCTGCAGGAATTCATTCTACAGAAGCAGTCTGTGTGAAGTCTGACCAGATATACATATAAAGGGTTGACTTGGCGATGCCGTCATAATTTCACCCAAAACACTAAAATATGGAAGACAAATAAATATTCAAAATAGACAATTGTTCATATAAGGTGTATCAATATAAAGGTAGAAATATATTTAATGGGGCTTCAGAGGATAGCTCAGTGGTAGAGGATGAAGTTAGCATTCATGAAGTTCTGGGTTCCATCCCCTCAGTGTACATGTGTGCGCACACACACGCACACACACAGCAGAAGGAAAGGAAAAAACAGAAAGAAAAGTATTTAATGATGCCAAAAGATGTTTATGATACGCAATTAGAGTGTAAGAAAAGCAGGTTACAAAGCACATGCCATATAATCTAACATTTGTAAAAAAATTACTAATAAAAAAGACCTTGAAGGTTATATAACAAAATACAGGAGTTTTCTTTGTCTGGTGAAATCATAAATCTTCCCCCCGCCATCAGTGTTGGGGATTGAACCCATAATTTCATGCATGCTAGACAAACACTCTACCACTAAGTTATACCCCCAGCCTAAATTTTCTCCTTGGTTATCTATATAAATATTTTAAAATATAACTACATGTATATTGGTTTTGTAATCAAAGCAGTCTACAAAAGCTAGTTTTAAATGGCCTTATCCACAAAGATATACATTGTAGCATGATTTATGATGGAAGACAAAGAAAACATATCTATAAAGGAACTGGCTTTACAAACTACATAATACAATGTATTAAATATTACACCATCATTAAGATGATCATAAAGTCTGTGTAGAAATACTTAAATGTGTATATATTAAGTGAAAATTACCAGACACGAAATGGCATGTGCACCATGATTATAAATATATAAAGTATGTCTGCATTGAAAAAAAAAAGTTCCAACTTGATGGGGTAAAAAGACTATATGAAAAACTTCCCTCTTTTTCAAAGTCACCAAAATATGGTACTTTGCTTTTTTCAATTAAAAGTATTATACAGTTGGGTGTAGTGTTGAGCTCTTGTAGTCCCGCAGGAGACTGAGGCAGGAGGATCACTTGAGCCCAGGAGTTTCAGACAAGCCTGGGCAACAGAGCAAGACCCTGTCTCAGGGAGAAAAATATATATATTATATGTAACATAAATATATTATTCACAGTATATTATATACTATATATAGAAAGACTATATATATATAAGCTTGAGGTTATGCATATATGTCTGTATATATGTATGTGTGTGTATTCATAGAATAACATAGTGCTGAGCACTGATCCCTATTTCTGAAATCCTCATAGAGAAATGGGTGCTGAGACTTCCAACATCTACTCCTGAGACTTTGCTTCCTGCATTCATTTAGTACATATTAATAATTTTCTTTTTTGGTACTGGGAATCAGCTCAGGACCTCGTGCTTGCCAGGCAGGCACTGTACCACTGGGCTATATCCCCAGCCTCATATTAATAATAATATTGCTAGTTATTAAATATCTTCTATATACATACATACCTAATTTCTGATTTTCACAATAACTTTTCACAAGATGGGTAAATTACTTAGGACTTTGTTGGTTTCGAGTTACTGGTAAATTACTTAGGATTTTGTTGGTTTCGAGTTACTGGAATCTGGTCTACTAAGGGGAAAACCATTTTTTTTTGTACTGTGGATTGAATCCAGGGCCTTCATAGTGAGCTACAGACCCAGTCTCTCTCTCTTTCTCTCTCTCTTTTTTTTTTTTTGGTTTTTGGTTTTGTGTACCAGGAGTGGAACTCAGGACCTTGTGCTCGCCAGACAAGTGCTGTGCTGCTGAGCTATATCCCCAGCCCTCTTTTTTTTTGAGACTCTGTTTTTTTGCTTTATTTTGTTTTGAGACAGGGTCTTGCTATATAGCTCAGGCTGGCCTTGAACTTATGGCAATCCTCCTGCCTCAGCCTCCTGACTGCTGTGATTATAGTCACTTGCCATCACATCTGGCTTGAGACTCTCTGGAACGTAGTTCCTAGCTTGGAAAGTAGGAAATATGGTCCAGCTTGGGTCAGGGGCTCACTTCTGGTCCAGTAATCTGTAACTGTAGGCCATCCCCTCTATGAACAGGGAAGAGGGCAGTTCCAGAAAAAGCCTGTGAGACGGAGGAGTCAGGTGGCTGAACTGAGAAACTAATGTGCATTAGACATGGTAAGTCTCACGCCTCTTTCTACTGATGAGGACACCAAGGCGCAGAGAGGCTGGTTGGTAGGTTTGGAAATGGCGGTGCTGGAATTCAAACCCACGTCTGCTTCTCTCCAAGGTCCAATCCATGCCGCCCACACATCTGTTAATGAATGCAAATCAGCCAGGCTATGCCTGTCCCAGACACGGGGGACAGTGTGTGCAAAGCCTGGAGCCAGAGGGAACTGCGAGTCTGCAGAGCTGCTGAGAAGTCCAGTGGGGCTGGACCACGAAGCGGGAGGCCCACTGAGCAGTGGGATGTGGCCCAAGGTGTGGGCCAGCCCTGATCAAGCAAGGGCTTGTTGACAAGGAGTCCGGACCTTTGCATGAGGACGGTGACATTCAGCAGAGGGTCAGTGGAGTGACAATTCCTGGTGTAGAAGGACTTCTCCAGCTGCGGAGATAGGATAGGATAGCTGAATGTGCTGGTTGCTGGGACCTGGGCCGTGATGGAGACAGGTGGATGGAACTGAGAAATGGCTGGGAGGCAAGATGATCAGATTTTGTGTTCAGCTGGCTAACTGGGGGTACAGAGATGCTAGCGAGATGGAGCAGGCCATTATGAATGAAGGTCCTGTGTTTGCTTGGCCAGGAAAACTGTTCCCTGACCGTGGATGGGTGGAGGAGATTTGGGGGGTTCTGTTTTAGCCATGATGAGTTTGAGATGCCTAGGAGCCATCCAAGGAACCTTCCAGAAAGAGCTGAGCCTTGAGTGCTTGTGTCTAGGAGGGGGTCCAGACCCAAGATACAGATTTAGAAATCATTTGTGGGCAGTAATGTCAAGGTACGATGAACTCACCCAGCAGGTGTGTGCCGAGGTAGAAGAGGACCCAGGCCAGAGTGCCAGGAACACCAACATTTAGGGCAGAAGAGAGAGGAGGAGGCCCCCAGGGAGGTGGAAGGGAGACCTGCAGTGAGTGGGAGGAGAGCCAGAGGCAGGCTAGTCAGCAGAGCCAAATGCTGCTGAGAGGTCAGCTAAATAAGGAAGGGCCAAGAAGGGTCTACTGGATTTAGCAACAGGGAGGCCAGTGGTAACCTCCAAGAGATCAGTTTCCATGGCGAAGCCAGAAGGCAGTGGGCAGAGGAGTGAGTGGGAGGCAAGCAAGCATAGACTTTCCTGATAGAAGTGACCCTCAGGGCTCAGGAGAAGGGAGCGCCATCGCCATCGGGGTGGTTGGAGGGTGTGAGTTTCTGTCTGTGGCGAGTTACACCCTGGTGAGAAGGAGGTGACAGACAAAGGTGAGTCCGGGATTCGGTCAGAAGGGGGAAGGGACATTAGGAGTGAGGAACCCAGCCAGAAGCCTGTAGCCCGAGCTACTGGGGAGGCTAAGGCAGGAGGATCGGTTGAACCCAAGTGTTCAAGACCAGCCTGGGCAACAAAACAACAGCCTGGCTCAACAAACAAAAAAAAAGGAGCGATGGGGCTGGGGATTTAGCTCAGTGGCACAGCGCTTGCCTGACAAGCATGAGGTCATGAGTTCGATTCCCAGTACCAGAAAAAAAAAAAAAAAGGAGCGAGGAAGCTGAAAGGGCGGCCAGCGACCTAAAAGCAAACAGGAGGTGGAGGCGGAGGCAGAGGGGGAGACGCAGGTGCAGGCCAGTCCACAGAGGTGGTGCCTGCAGTTCAGGGTCTACAGGCGCTTCCATTTTAAAGGAGGCAAACAAAGTCTGTGGGTGGGGTTTAAGCTGCTGAAGGATAGAATGTTTAAAAGAGACTGACTGGAGACAGTCACAACCTGCCTACCAAAGCACCAGGGGTAAATCTTTGTTTTCATCTCAATATTATGGAATTAAATCCTCAAATTCACACCTGAAATACAATAACAGTACAAATCTGGAAGAACTGTGAAAAAGGTAGCTTGTTTTTGTTGCTTTGTTTTTGCAGTACTGGGGATCGACTCCAGGGCCTCACATGGGCTAGGCAGGTGCTCCACCCCTGAGCTATGATCCCAGCCGAAGGTCATTCTGCAGGAGTGGACACTGGAAGAAGGTGGGGGAAGGGAGGAAGAGGAGGAGAAAGAAAAATAACTGCATTTATTTCAGGTACAAATAGTATGCAAAATATTACCTAGTGCTTGAGAAAGTATCTTTTGTAATTAGCATGGAAATTGTTTGCAATGTAAATGAGTGTTTTGAAGTACTGGGCTATGCTTAAAAACAGTACTTTAGTATTTTAAGAATTCCCCTTGCAGGGTGAAACCACTTTATATCTATTTTAGGACCTTGTTAAGTCTGCTTAAATGTAGTTAATTTTTTTTTCTGGAAAAGATACTGGCTACATCAGAAAACAGTTTCTGGCAAAGGTAAGACTGCGCTACTGTGCTCCGCACAAGCGTTTTCCAAAGGCCATTTCCACCAGAGCAGATCTGATTGCGGGAGATTGTTACTAAGGGAACGGTGGGGCGTGAATATAAATTTCATTTCTCCAAAGCCCTGACTGAGGTATTGATCCAAAGGGAGCAGTCTTCAGTGCAGGATAAAGAGCTGTTTTCTAATCAAAATAAATAAAAATAAATAGAGAAACAGACACATATTGGGCTTTCTCCTTGCCTTGCAAATCTCTCCTTTTTAACCGGCAACCAGATGAGGGGGCCAGGAAGATAAGGGGGCCAGGGCCCGAGGACTGAAGCAGGAGGTGTGGACACCAAGCCGGTCTGCGGCTCCGCGGAGCTGAAGCCAGGACCCCTAAGGGGAGGGTGATGTCCCATCACTGATGTTATTCTCATTTATTGAACCCCAGTTCTGTTGTCTCACGTGATCGTGGTTCCTCACAATCACGCTGGGTATTATCCTCACCGAAAGGTGAGAACACTGAGGCCTTGGAGGTTCCGTTCTATTTCCTGCCCAGGGTCACAAGCTCATGAGTGGCTGAGTCGGAGTCCATTCTGGAGTCTTCCTTTTCTGTCCTCCACAGGACTCAGGTTAATCAAATGGCGGCGTGCGTTATCATCTTTACCCTATGCAGGGCAGCAAGGCCTCTCTTAGATGCTATTTCCCAGCTCCTCCTGCTGTCTCCTTTTAATTGCCTCCTATTGGCTCCCTTGTCTCACGGGCCCTCTAAGGAGCCTGCTCCATGCCCTGAAACAGGTGCACATCCTTGTTAATGACGTGATGTTGCTTTGAATGTATGCATTTTACTATTAAAAGGCATTGTTAAACCTCATTCTCCTTTTTACTGATCAGTTCTGTTTTGTGTTGTGGTACTGGGAACTGAACCCAGGGCATTTGAACTGAGCTGCAGCCCCAGTCCATTATTTATTTTTTACTTTGTGACAGGATCTCAATAAATCACTATGTTGCCCAGGCTAGGCTTGAATTTGCAATCTACCTGATCTAGCCTCCCAGAGTGCCACTACACCCAGCTTCAATTCTGTATTTTTAAGATCTATGTTGGTGGGCGTGGTGGCGCACACCTGTAATCCCAGCACTCGGGAGGCTGAGGTAGGAGGATTGTTGCGAGTTCGAGACCAGCCTGGGCTACAAAGTGAGCTCAAGGCCAGCCTGAACTGCATAGCGAGACCCTGTCTCAAAAGGACAAAAAAAAAACTCCCCAAAAACATTGTTGTTGCTGTTGTTGTTGTTGGTGGTGGTGGTGGTGTGTGTGTGTTAGTATGTGTGTGTCACTACTTCCATGATGACTATTCTTTTTTTGGGTACTGTGACTTGAACTCAGGACCTTGTGCTTGCCAGGCAGATGCTGTGCCACTGAGCTATATCCCCAGCCTTATGACAACTATTCAGAATGATTCATCCATAACATTTTTTTCTGTACTGGGGATTGAGCCCAGGCCCCTACACATACATACTAAGCAAGTGCTCTGCCACTGAGCTACACCCCAGCTCTTTTAAAATTTTATCTTGAAGCAGTATCTCACTAAGTTGTCAGGCTGGCCTCGAACTTGCAGTCATCCCACCTCAGCCTCTTGAGTAGCTAGGATTACAGGCATGCACCACTGTGTGCAGTCAGCCACATCATTTCACTAATCTACATATTCTGCTGGGGTGAACGCCAAGGTTGATGAGTTGAACTTCCTCATGCATATCTCCTTGGGGACTTGCTTGAGAATTTCTTTTTTTTTTTTTTTTTTTTTTTTTTGATTTTTTGGTTTTT